TAAAAGTATACAGATTTGGAATGGTATTGTGGAGAAGATGGAGAGGAGGTTAGCATGGTGGAAGCGTATGTACCTTTCGAAAGGAGGCCGCCTTACTCTCATAAAGTCTACTCTTCGAATCTTCCTACTTACTTCTTGTCACTGTTTCCTATTCCTGTTGCAGTAGCAAAAAGATTAGAAAGGATCTAAATGGAGTTTCTTTGGGGAGGATTAGGAGAGGAGAGGAAGTTGCATTTGGTTAATTGGCATGCGGTTTGTTCTCCAATTAGACACGGTAGTCTCGGTTTAAGAAGTCTTGTATTGTTTAATAAGGCCTTGTTGGGTAAATGGTTGTGACAATTTGGAGTGGAGAGGGAGAGCTTTTGGAGGACTGTTATTGGGGCAAAACATGGTGTTACAGAGAGGGGATGGTGCTTAGGTGAGAGACGTGGTCCTTCTGGGGTGAGTTTGTAGCGGTATATTCGGCGAGGGTGGAGCGATTTTAGAGATAGGTTGACTTTTGTTGTAGGGAATGGTAATACAATAAACTTTTGGGATGACTGTTGGTGTGGAGATCAATCGCTCAAGGTGAGATTTCTTTCTTTGTATCGAATTGCATTGGAGTCATATGCCATGGTGAACGATGTCTTAGATATTCACAATGGGAACTCTAGTCGGAACACTGTTTTTGGTCGGGGTCTGCAGGACTGGAAAATGGATGATTATGCGTTGTTTCTGACATCTCTATACGAGGCACATATCAGGGCAGGAGAGGATGAAAGTAGCAGGAGGAGAGTGACAAGAGATGGTATTTTTTCTGTTCGCACCTATATTCTATCACTATCGAGAGTAGAAGAGAACTCATTCANTGAAGAGAGCTTATTCCCCTGAAAGATGGTATGGAAATGTAAATTGCCCCCATGAGTGGTATTTTTATTATGGATGGTGGTTAGATGACATGTGTTAACGGTGGATAACCTTCGCATAAGGGTTTTTATGTTACAGAGTGGTGCTATATGTGTAAGAGGGACGGGGAGACGATTGATCACTTATTTCTTCATTGTGATGCTGCTCGTTTATTGTGGAACAATGTTTTGGTGTCGCAGCATATGGATTGGGTGATGTCGAGGCGTATGGAGGACATGTTAAAGACATGGAGAAGGAAGTTGCAAGATAAAGATAGCAAACTTGTTTGAGACCTTATTCCGGGTTACATCGTGTGGTGTTTGTGGAGAGAAAGAAATGGACGCTGTTTTGAAGACCAAACACAAACAACATAATGGTTTAGGGACTTGTTTTATTTGACATTGTTTAATTGGTTTAATACTGTGGCTACTAGGCATATAGATGGAATGCCCAATTTTTGTTCGTGATTTGTATTGATGATACACTTTCTGTGTATTAACTTTGATTAATATTATATTTGATTACCTTTCAAAAAAAATTGATTGAGGAGTATTATAAGTTGGACTATGAGGATACAATAGGAGACTTGAAAACGAGGTTCAAGTACAAACCTGTCAAGTCCAAAAGATTTGGACTGAGCACCGAGGAGATTTTGATTCTGGATGACAAGGAGTTGAATCAGTATGCCTCTTTGAAGAAGTTGGCTCCTTATAGGGAGATGGAATGGAAGGTACCTCTTATTAAAACATACCAGCAAAAACTGAGGAACAAGGCACTTCTCGAAGGAGAGACATCAAATACTAATAATAAAGTTAATAACAAGACACGACTTAATGGTCTGGAAAAACCAAAAGTAGTTAGCGTGGCAGAAAATGAGAAATCACAAATGGAAGAATCAAATGGTGATACAACCAATCTCTCCAGACGAAGTAAGAGAAGGAATCATCAAGCAGAACTCAAACTATCACGTTCGAGGCTTATGGCATATGGGAAAATCCATTCCAAATCTAAGAGTAAGATGCACTAGAGCAGAGAATGGTTGAAATTTTGCCAATTAAAGGTAATACCTGCCATGATCTCGGACTTTGTGTTTTTCTCCAATTATTCATCTTCTTCTTAGTTAACTTTTTAACAAAATTTGCCTAATCTTTTAATGAACAAATTTTGACAAGAAAAGAAATATGTACATATGTACTTCTGTATAATAAAGTAATGTTGAAGCAAGAAGCTTATATTGAACTTCAAAATTGTGGTTATTGAGGCCGGTTTTGACATCCATCAAAGTTGTTCCCAGTAATCTAATTTCTTTTCTTAACATTTATGCTGACAACAGTTCATGGAACAAATAGAATTCGTCTAGGTTTGATTGTTTACTTTTAACTCATTCAAATTCAGTTATCTAGTTCTCCACAAAATGCATTGAGGTGCATTAGTTGACCGGACATCTAGGGGTACATCACTGTTGTTGTGTTGCCGCAAGCACGCGAATAAAATATTCTGCCCATCGAACCGTAATAAAAGTTTGTTCTTTTACTGACTTGGTTGTTTCTTTAGATGGCTTAGAGAAGTATCTGATGAAAGTAAGTTTGGAATCTATTTATGGAATAAATAATATTGTAGATTAGCCAATACTGTTAAGCTGAAAGAGTAATGCAATACAGAAATAGGTTTCTGAATTGTACTGATTGAAACTTGAGCCTGCAGTGTCAGGTTCCTTATGTGATAGTAAGAAATTCAGGTTGAAACACCTTGAGATCAAGTTTTACAGTATTCTGATTTCAAGGTGGGCATGTTGACTCATTAACTTGAAGATGTTTTTGGTTTAACATTAGCCTCTACGTGAACGATAATTTGAGATTTGGACTTGATTTATGTGGAAAAGGAAGAGAGTTGGACTACTGTTCAATTTATCAAGTAGTGTTGGAGAATGACCATGCTGGCTCTGAACCATAAATCACGTACTTATTATGGGAAGAAAGCTAAAAAATGATATATTTCCAGTTTAAAATCATGGTTTTGATTTGAAAATCTTCAAATGAAAACCAGCTGTCTCTATCACTAAATCACTAAAGAGTCATTATGTTAAGGACCCAACCATTGATCCCAAAAGTCCAGGCTTAATGGAGATTGGAATCTCGCCCTTTTAGACCCTAACATTACCCCACGGCCCAAGATCCGACGTCCACGGCGGCCTACTACAAGACAACCTTCGCTTTACCAGCCGACCCAGATTTGAGCTGCTGGCATTCGGCACTTTGCTTGTGTTGTCCCTTCCGGGATTCGAACCCTTGACGTGGGGGTGCTCTGATACCAATTGTTAAGGACCCAACCATTGATCCCAAAAGCCCAGGCTTAATGGGAATTGGAATCCCGCCCTTTTAGACCGTAACACATTAGTGGTTTTTGTTCAGTTTGGGTTGTTTGGGCTTATCAATTAGCTGCTGCTTAACTTCTATAGAGTGGAACCTAACCCCTCTTGATTCTTTAACCACATTTTAACTGCTAAATTCGAGTCAAAATATAAGTACCACGAAATGGTTTCTCACTATGTGATGCTTGACTTAATGACTTGAGATCAATGTTAACATCAACATATATCAGTTTAAAGAAGCCAGTTTGTAAGGGGATTTGATATCATTGGAGGAGCAACAGCATTGACAGAGGCAGAGGTCATAAGTACTGTGTTCTTGCCTGTAGTTTTAAATCCTCACCCCTCAAGCTTCGCACCTACAACCCATTCCTCCCCGTCAATTAAAAGAATTATGACATTCATTAGAATTGATTTCCATTCCTTTTTTATTAATTCTTTTAAACCATTCCCTTTTTATGCTTGAGGAATATGTCTTGTTTGTCACAGCCAATTATTGAGTTGGAATTTTATATATCAAGGGTCGTTCAACATTAACCGATGTCTATAAACTCATTAGAACTAACTGCTTTGACATTATAATTCCAAAGCCTCTTTTATTCGTTTCACTGAAGATGTATATAGATGACGGAACCCACATTCCTTCTTCTCGAAATATGTTATTCTTTAGAAAATCAACTGCCATATTGTATCATATGATGTTAGTTTGGAGGCTGGAGGTTAGTTCAAGACCATTGATTTATTGGATTAAAAGTTGCAATTGATATTTGGTAATTTGGAAAGAATGGTAATGGAGTGATGGTTTTTATAATTTGGAAGAAACTTCTTACTGAGTTTAGGCTTGCTAGGGCTCTAATTTAGTGGCCATATCCACGCATTGGCAACCCCTTTTTCTTTTTTCGATTTTATTCATATTTGGCTGACCTTAAATGAAAGTAAAAGTTAGCTTTTATATGCAGATATGTATATGTTTATACAAGTACTATTCTGCAATTTTAAGTAAAAAAAATTGCTTATTATGGAAGTTGCTTTTACTTCACTTCAATGTAAGCAACTTAGAGGATGTTCTCTTTGTGTTTCAGTTTTTAGTTTTGAATTTATTTTGGATTTTGTGTTTTGAGTGTCCATTTTGAGATTGCTGAAACGCGTTCTTTTTGTCATTTTGAAAAATTGTTTTCAAAAATAAAAAAAAAATTAAAAAGGCGTTTATTTTCTAATTTTCAAAAAATAAAAAACTATTTATTTAATATATATATATATATTAAATAACAAAGCAAAAGCGGCTGCCATTGTGGTTAAGGCATTGAAATTCTATGTTGGTGACCCGGGTTCGAATCTCAGTTACCTACCAATTTATTTGAAAAATTTTGTATTATGTATATAAAAAGATTCAGAAAATCCGTTGACTCTCTCAATTAATCTATCCCTCAAACGGCAAAATTATGTCGTTTTCCACGTTTTAAAGTTTTGGCTTGATTTAACTAAAAACAGCCAAAACGATTTTTTTGGCGTTTTTCGTTTTCTTTGTAAATTTTAAATGCGTTTTTGGAAATTCGATTCTGAAAATAGGTAAGTAAACGTGTTTTCAATGTTTTCGAAAACTGAAACAGGTAATGGCATGAAAATAGCAAATAGAACATGCCCTTACTTTTTCCAACTTACAGATGAATACTTATTGACTTTTAGGCAATTGTTTAAGCTTAGCCTAACATGTCATGGACACCGTAAAATGTAAATTCGTTTTTGGATTTCATAGTAAATAGTTTGATGAACACTTGGGAAGTTGTTTATACTATGCCAGCAAAGGTGATTCATTGTAATTACTTGCTTTTCGTCACAGATTCTTGTCACGAAGTACTCCTGTTTCTAGGTTCTGTGGTTTAGTATTGTTTACCATGTAGCTTTCGTGTTGTGTGCTTTGTGTCCCTATCACCGTGAAGTTTGATGCTATAACCAAGTAAAAAGATACAGAATTTATGGTGATTATTTTTATCGCTGTTTCTATTATAGAATCTTTCAATAATTAACTACTGCAAACTTTCTGCTCGGGATGTGAGATTTCTTACAAAGTTCATTACCGAGCCCAGTATTAGCATCAAGAGGAGCAAGGTAAAACATTTGATTCACTCAACAGGCTTACGAGATCACTAACTGCGAAAGATTTCCGTTTAGGGTTAATTTCACAAATGGTCTAAAACATAAATAAACTCTAAATTGTTCAACTAATAAGATTTAATAAGAAAAAATTATTAATTTGTTTAGAAAAAATAAAAGAAATTGATTTATCCAATATAAAAAAAAAAAAAAATCGGTTCTTTGGTTCTTGGTCTGGAACCGAGAACAGAACCATCTCGATTCGGATACCCGTTCGGGTATTTCATTTAAGAAAAATCACTCGGTTCAGACATTTTGCCCAACCCTAGCCATATCCATGCGTGGGCAACCACTTTTTCTTTTTTCAATTTTATTCCTATTTGGCTAACCTTAAATGAAAGTAAAAGTTAGCTTTTATCTGCAGATATGTATATGTTTATACATGTACTATTCTGCAATTTTACGTAAAAAAAAAAATTGCTTATTATGGAAGTTACTTTTACTTCACTTCAATGTAAGCAACTCAAGGGATGTTCTCTTTGTATTTCAGTTTTTAATTTTGAATTTATTTTGGATTTTGTGTTTTGAGTGTTCATTTTGAGATTGCTGAAAACACGTTCTTTTTGTCATTTTGAAAAATTGTTTTCAAAAATAAAAAAAAAAAGAAAAAAACGTTTACTTTCTGATTTTGAAAAACTAAAAAACTAATTATTTAATATATATATTAAATAACAAAGCAAAAGCGGCTGCCATTGTGGTTAAGGCATTGAAATTCCATGCTGGTGACCCGGGTTCGAATCTCAGTTACCTACCAATTTATTTGAAAATTTTTGTACTATGTATATAAAAAGATTTAGAAAATCCGTGACTCTCTCAACTAAATTATCCTGCAAACGGCAAAATTCTGTCGTTTTTCGCGTTTTGAAGTTTTGGCTTGATTTAATTGAAAATAGCCAAAACGATTTTTTTGGGGTTTTCCGTTTTCTTTGTAAATTTTAAATTCGTTTCTGAAAATAGGTAAGTAAACGTGTTTTCAGTGTTTTCGAAAACTGAAAATTGAAAATGACCTGAAAACAACAAAGAGAACATGTCCTTACTTTTTCCAACTTCTACAGATGAATACATATTGACTTTTAGGCAATTGTTTAAGCTTAGCCTAACATGTCGTGGACACCGTAAAATGTAAATTCATCTTTGGATTTCATAGTAAATAGTTTGATGAACGGGGAAGTTGTTTATACTATACCAGCAAAGGTGATTCATTGTAATTACTTGCTTTTCGTCATAGATTCTAGTCACGAAGTACTCCTATAAGAAATGAAGGGAAAATATGTTTGTAATGTGCATACTGATTGTGCAGGAAAGAAAACAGCTGATTTGTATTGAAAATGAATTGATTGAATTCTATTACTTTCGTTCATCTACACACCAGAATATATACAGCAGATAGAAAGAATCTAGAACTAATACAATCATAACAAATTTGTTAGAAAGAATAAAATCCATCTACAAAGTTCCAGCAAGGCATAACAGAAATAATAGGCAGCCATGTGCTCCTTCTTCAA